AAATTCTGGCAGGCTTTTTGTATTAACAGTCCATACTAGCATTCTCCAACTCATTATTTAACTGGGAGGTCAAAATTTGTCTCAGAGTTTAATGATGAATGTCATGCCTTGAATAACTTTTTGATTTTTTTTTTTCCTGGCTTTGGTCATTTGGGTATATATTGTTTAAATCAAATTAATTAACCACAGGAAAACCAAAGCAGGTTGAATGATCTTTCTAGTTTCTCTGTTTAAATTAAGGTTTCTAATCTTTTAAGCTATGTGTTGTCAGACAAGTTATTAATTGTCTTAAGCCTCATTTTCCTCATTTGTAAAATGGCAGATGATAATGCTGACTGTGTCTAGCCTCTCCCTTTACCTCTCCTCTAAATTCTCATGACAATCTACTGATTTTATTGTTCCACATTTAACATACATTTCCATAATCCGTGGCCAAGTGCATGTACCTGATTCCTCTTGGTTCTGAGGTTTGGCTGGGGCAGTCCTATTGACATCTAATTGTTATGGAGTTCTTAGATGTTTAGTAATTGTCCTGGGAAAAAATATCCTGGTTTGGTCAATCATTTTATGGTCACAGAGGCATGGTTGTGGTTCAACATGTAGACTCTGGAGCCAGACTGCCTAAGTTCAAATCTTTCCTCTCTGGTTCTGCTATTGTGTTGCCAGGGCAAATTAGTATACTACCTTATAGCTTCGTCAGCTGTAAAATGAAGAGGACCCTTGGTGTGAAGATTACAGCAGTCACTGCGTGCAGTGTCCTTTGAAGAACACCTAGGAAGTCCTCTGTCCCTATTAACTATTAGCAGAATCAACTCTATGATCTTGGCTGGGCCACTTAGTGTCTCTGGGCCTCACTTTACTCACCCGTAAAAGGGGAGACCCACCTACCTCACAGGGTTATTGTGAGACTTAAGTGAAATGCTCTAATACCTTCAGTAAATTGTAAAGCTCTATACAAATTTAAGCCTTTACCACTTCAGTTAACAAACATATGATGCGTGAATTAAACATTAAACAGCTTATACACAGAGCTGATAATAGTGGTGCACGTGTGTTATGAAACAACTTTGCTTCCAAGAATGTCTTTCTTTAAAAGAAAAAGGAGATAATAAATTTAAAATTTTATAAAACGCCCTTATTCTTCATTTCTATTTTTCATAAACATGAAATGGTTGCTATGGAGTTAATTTACATTGGGTACCTTCTGGCAGCTTTTTCTCTGAGTACAATCTGTGTGGTGCTTTTTTTTCTTATCAGAGTAAAATCCTGCTCTATAGAGTCACAGAAGTCCTCTTTGTCACCACAACTTGCTTCTGACGGATGGTGGCATTGCTAGAGTTTCTGACCAGCATTCTGCCCGCTAAATGTATTCAAAGAGAAGGTTGAAGCCCCACAAAATTCCTAGTACTAGAACCTGCAGTACCAATGTGGCTGTTTCGTGAAAAATCTGGCCCTTCGCTGAGGAAGCTCCCAGCTTCTCCACACAAAAACCCAAGTGTGAAATCACAGAAGCAAGGAGCTATGTCTGCATTACGTTTACACGAGATAGATTTATTTTCCTATGGTGAGGAGTTTGGAGGTGGGGATCAAGACCTCTCAATTATCTTGGCCGGAAACGAGGAAAGCCTGGTTTCTGTTGATAAACAAAACAGCCGTTCAATCATCAAAATTGTATTTTGATAGAAAAACAAACTGGAAGCATCTTTGTAGCTAGCTCTTACCTAAATACAAGTTAGCAACCCACCGCAGAGCTCTGGAATCGATTCTGATTTCTCCCCTCATTTCTCCCTTATAATACTTAACAGAAAGCTCCACTCTAATTTCTGAACTGCAAGTGGCACCGCACGGCACACAGCTTTTTGTCATACTTGACGATACCACATGAACCAACCTAGAAGACTGGATGGGTAACTTTATGCTATTATCCCTTTAAAAAACATAGTGAATATGAATTATCCAGGGATTTTTGCTAACAGGAGATTTGCTTGTCACTTCTTATGGTTCTTATACTTTTCCCCAGTTTTGTCTTGTCTTTCCCCCAGAGTGTTTAGAATATATTTCTGGGAATCTTTACTTCAGTTCTAGAACAGCGTTTTTTCCATAATGGTTTGCTTTCTTTTTCTGTTTTGTAATAGTCTGTGATCTTTGTTACCAAAGTTTTATCCCTTTTCTTTGACTCCCATGTCAAATATTACAAAGAAGAAGTACATAAATAAAACAAAGAAAATCTGAACAAGCTAAAGAAAAATTCTGAGAGAGAGACTATATTCTGCAATATTCTCAATTCATTCAGAGGTTGGGAAATGAAAAAGAAGTCTATCACCAATGGACTAAAATGTCATTTCCCAATAATGTCTGAGACATTCTACCAAACTAATTTGGTAAATAGCCATTAAAATCTTTTTTTTAATATATAAAGAAAAGTCTTGAAATCTAATAGTAAAAACTACAGATTATGTGACACTATTTTCATCTTTCATTTACCTTCCCTGAATAGACAGCACATGCTTTTAATAGACTCAATCTATAGCCCATACAAACTATATGGACTGTTCCTTCATTGTTTGCAACTATTTTACCTTCTCTAAATCTTTCTCATCGTTCAAGACTTATTAGATATCAGCTCCTTCTGGATATCTCCCTTGGCATCCAAGTTGGGCTAGAATTCTGTATTTATGTTTCTACAGTACCTTTTAATCTATTTCCTGTATCTGTTTTCCCACTATAAGGTAGGGCTTTATCTCCATCATCTTTCTATTTCCAGACCTAGTGCTGGCAATACAGTATGTCTAGAATACATGTTTGTTGGATGCCAGCTGAAAAGTCGTAATGGATGGGTAAGACGTGGACCAATAACAAGTGCCAGTCTTTGTCTTGCTTGGGCAGTATCACGTGTGCTGTCCTCTGCCTGAAACAGCGTCTGCTCACCCCCACTCCCATGGACAAGTTTATTGTGATTCTTTAAGCCTCAGCTTAGATGTTGCTTTTTTCAGGGCCTCTTCCCTGAACTACTCAACTGGGGTTGGGAGCTCCTCCTCTGGCCTCCCCTATCCAACTAACTTTTGGTATCACAGGACTCCACTCCACCTGACTCTCTACTTGTCCAAATTCCCCAATTACCTATACTTTGTAAGAGCCATGAGCCATGAGAAAGTCAGCATTCTCTCCACTGAATTCCTGCAACATTGTCTGGAACTATGGTGGGAGATCAGACAATATCCATAGGATATTTAAACAATAGAAAAATAAAATCGCCCTTTCATACTAAATTTTGTTAGAATCAAAATCACACTAATATTCCATTCTTCTTTTTAGTTTTCTAAATGATAGAAACAGAAGAGTGGACAAAAATGGAGACTCATATAAATGGAGACTGATTTCACTGACACCTCATGTAAAATGTACACAAAATTAAACTCATTAATTTCCTCCTGATCTTTCATCCTTCAGGATGAATGGCAGCATCATTTATTTTGTCATCCAATCTCAGACCTCAGAGTCAGCTATGACATTTTCCTCTGCCTCGATCCCTCCATTAAGACAGCTGCCAATTCCTACTTCTCTGTCTGCCTCTGCATCCCATTTCCACCATCACCATCTCACTTCAGAATCTTGTTACTTGCCTAGAGTCAACTAACTGCACAATGACTGCCCAAAACTTTTCTCTGTGGTGCTCCAATCCTTCCGACATGCCTTCAGGAGCCATCTTCCCTAAGAACTTTCCTAAATTATGTCACCAGATTGCTACTAAATATAAAGGCTCCAACCATCCATGAACTATGTATAAATGCCTCTGCTTGACCTTCAAACCTTTCATAGAAAGTTTCATCCAAACTTGATCATGTGGGATAGAAGAAATGACAAAGGGTTTACTCTTATCCCAAGCCGGGAGCACAGTTCCTAACATGCAGCAGACACACAATAAATATTTCCTAAAATGGCAAAAAAGGAAACTTAGGTATTCTTCACAGATGATATCATGCCACTCTCCTGCATAAAGTCCTTTAATGGACTGTCACTATCTATAGGATACAGTTCCAACTTCTGAGCACAACTTGCCTCTTGTATACCTGCCTCTCACTACTATTGCCCTGGCTCTCTGAGCACGTGCCTTACAGGATCACTTGCTTCCTTTACCAATGAGCCTTTGCATACGATTTCCTCCCTCTGATTTTTTTGTATGCCTCTTATTTGTCCTTCAAGATTAAATTCAGAAACTTTCTTGATCCATTTCATTCTGGATTAGCTACTCTTAAGATAGAGTATGATTCTATCGCTAGCACATATTGCATGTGTCTATTTCTCTGTATTCCTCACTCTGTGGTAAACTCTTCGAAGACAGGGACCACATCCTCTTTTTTTGTTCTCCAGGGTCTACCACGGTACTCATACTTAATATCCTTTGGTGAAAACACTTTTTTTCTTCTACTAGCTACCATCAACTAGCTATATACAACCAACAAACTACTTAATTGACTGGATTTAGTTTCCACCTCAGGCCCATTGGCCTCTACACTGCGCTCCATCCAAACCAGAAGAAATTACATTTTCTAGCTTTCATGTTCCTTCTAATGTCATTCTGAACTTTAACTTGTTGAAATTTCTCCCGTCTTTCAGCACACATGTAAAACAGCAGTGTCTTATACTGTTTTTTTTTTTTTGTATCCGATTTCCTAAAGTTTCTTTCTTCTATACACTACGACGTAAACTTCTTTATGGTAAGGTTCATGTTCTATTTGTCTGTCTCTCCTAAATTATACCATTTCTGGTACGTAAAAAAACACTCTCATTAATGTTAAAGTGATGAGAATCTGTGCCACAATGAACTCTAGAACACAATGCAACAGAACTTGAATAACAAAACTGTGAGCCTGTGCAGAAGACTCTCACTCTACATACAGCAACATAGTCTTTTATAACCACACAGCCCCGAGATTTAACCTTTTTTTTCTTGCTTACATGCGTTTCTATCCTTCAGCCCTAACCTTCGATCAACTTACTTGATATTCTCATTTGCAGGTACTTCGGGCAGTTGCACGGTAATCATGCCATCCAAGTTGGTCTTCCCAATGAAGGCAGGCTTGGTACGTAGAACATCTGGTGCCGTCTTTGCGGTTACCCTGTGCTGCAGCCCCCCAGCACTGTTGCCACGATTTGTCAGCACAAATGAATATGACTTCGCAGGCTTCAGGTTGACAATTAACTTCTGGGTAGCTCGGCCGTCCACTTCTTCTACCATTTTCCCATCATCATAAAGAATCTAGAGATACAACCAATCAAAGAGATTTGGTTATCAGTCAGGCAATGAATATTTTCTAACTAATATGGTACTTGCTTATGGAAAATACATATGGGTCATTTCTAATTTGGGGCATTTCCTAAGCCTGTAAGTGCTCATAAATTCTAGAGATGGCATCAATTTTCTTTTGTTTCTTATTGTGTAATGATACAGTGTTTCTAAGTCTATCAAAAATACACCGAGAAATGTACAATATCTTAACAATATGTGGCCCTTCAGTTGTCTGTGATCTTAAGGGAATGTTTGCAGAAATGCTCTGGGTTTCAATGCATCATCCACACCACTTTTTCCCAAACACTTCCATTCTCGTTCCCAAATATATTTTTACTTTCAAAAATGTTCTTTATTCCTTCTTTCACAGACTTGTACTTCTTGCTAACATTTGCCAATATCTCTCAATGGGAAACTAAAGTTTAAAATATTCAAAGAATTCAGGCCAATTAACAAATTACTTAAATCCCAGGATACTGCATTACAAACAGGTAGAAACCATGTAAACTTCATTTCCTGATGAAAAAACAAAAGCACTAGCTTAGATGTAAAACGTTCAACTTGGAAGTGCTAGGTGACCCACAAAGAATGCCGGCCCTGGGTCTGAGCTCCTGCCTCCTCTTGAGAGGGGAAAGGTCACACTGCCAAAGAGCCAGACTCAGTCTGTTATGTGAAAGCCACAGAGAGAATAACAAGTATGTGTGGCTGAGTCAAAGCAGTCTGTATGCTTTGTAAGTAACTCACCCAAGTGACCTGCCCCCTCCTCTTTTACCAGTGATATCTTCTTACACATTAGAAAACAACTTACTTTGAAAGGCATGGCAGAATTATAATTCTCTGGAATCTCCCAAGACAGTAGCACTGAAGTCTTCATTACTGCTTTGACATGAAAATTTTTTGCAAACACTGCTGGAAAAGGAAAAACAGTGTATTTAAACTACTCCTAAAAACGTATGACTTGTCCTTTTCCATGGACAGGAGGGCTTAAGCTAGATGCCACCTACTTTGATCGGACAGAGAAGTGTGATTTGCCTACCTGTTAAGAGCATTCATTTTAATACCTCATTCTCATAAAGATCTCTCCTTTCTCTCCCATTCAGTCAACTATATTGTGTCGTCCTTACCTGAGAACACTGGGGTGCTGTCAGCCAGACTTGCTTGGCATTCTCTAACTGAAATCTAAGGCATCCAAAACATATTAAGTTTTACATACTTTACCTTTTTGCTTTTGCTGAACCTATTAATATGAATGCGCTGATCAGTTATTTACAGCTTCAAAATACTGATTTCCAAAGACCGACATTCCTTTAAGGGAGAAAGGCCGTAAGCAGACAAATCCTACCTTGATCCACAGGCAGTGTCCTGAACTGGACACTGGGACTATATGGCCCGGGGCCTTTGCTCGTGTGAGCACGTACTTTTACATCATATGTGGTATCTGGTTTTAAGCCACTGAGTGTCAGAGCGGTGTCAGCTGGAACAATAAGCTGCTCCATTGGAAAAAGAGGGATATTGATATCCCTATACAGAAGGGTATACTTGGTGATAATGCCATTTCTCTCTGCCAGGACAGGTGGCTGCCAAGATAACTGGACAGAGGTTGACGTGCTGCCTTCTGAGTGGAGGTTTTGAGGGAATCCAGTTGGGACTTCTTCTGGAACAGAAATCTCCTTCACCATCTCCTCCCCAAAGCCCACTTTGTTTCTGGCTGAGAGCCTGAAGATGTACGATGCTCCTTTGTGGATGTCTGTCGCTGTGAAGTGATCTTCTTTTTCAGAGAACTCAAGAGTAGTGAGTGGCTCCATATCCTTCCGGCCAAATTTTAGACGGTAGCCCTGGAGGGGTCCAAATGTGTCCACAGGGGGGTGCCACTGAACGAGAGCAGTATTCATCTGAGTGTGGTTAATCACAAGCCGGGGTTTCCCTGGAACTGGAGCACACAGGAGGGAGCGGTGAGACCACCCTACATGGGTGTTTGCATTTCAATCACTGATGAACGGGAATGCCACTCCATGGGCATTCCCATGCCTTTACTTATAAAAAAAGGCCAAGGCTCGGTCTATATACCTTTGTGGAAACATGCTCCTTCTCATACTCTTTTAAGGTAGGGTGAGATATTAGAATTTGATAATGGACAGAAAATAGGAATTATTATTGAAATGATAATTTAAGGAGATTTTCTTAAACATCTTCACATTTCGAATCTTAACACACAGAGGTTCATGCCGCAGAGAAATGAAGCTCAGTAAGGATTAGCCAATTAGGTACAGCTAATAAGAATCATAATTAAAATATATTTAATTACTGGGTACATGCAATGTACCAGACACTGTACTAAGAACATTACATGTAGTATCTCACTTGATTTACATCCTTCACTCCTGACTATGTGCCCTGCTTAGTTATTATCTTCACTTCGTATAATAAAAAAATGAAACAGAGAGATAGAAAACTGTGCAAAGTTAGATGCGTAACAAGTGAGGATGCTGTGAGACAAACATAGGTCTGTCTGAATCCATGGCCCAAACAACTTAACTAGTGTGTTGATTATAAGTTTAAAAAAAAAAAAAAAAAAAGTAACGTAAAATAATGTTGCTCTGACTTACTGTGGATCTAATCTGCATTTTTTGTTTATACCATCCACACCAGTCATCCTCATCAAGTTTTACATCTAGTAAAATAGGAATTATATTAAGACCTACACCCTATTGTTGTTATGAACATTAAATGACGAAATGCATGTAAAAGTCTTAGAACAGTGTTTTACATTTCCTTAATAATAATAATTATTAATAATCAGAATATTAAGGTTTTTGTGGTCGGGGGCTAAGTACATAATTTCTTTTCAAGTTAAATAAGTTAGATATGTGGATAGGTCTAATATACTCAATGTATTATTACAACCGTTTTTTTTTTTAACAAACAGTAATTATTCCTGGAATCCACAGACAAGGACAGTGGTAAACAGCACAGAGCCAGGAGTTTCTTTGGAAATAGTCCAAAGATGAGGGAGGGGAAAAGAGTATTACCAGAATTAAAAATAAGTTAATAGAAAGGGGAGACAATATGGTCAGAAGGGAGGAAAGCTTACACTAATGGCAATGAAAAATACACAGGCAATGAAAAATAGTATCATAGGGATGTAGATATAAGTTAAAAACAAAAACAAACTAGAAAGATGTTGAGATAAGATACAGAATATTAACTTCAAAAATTACTTGGTTAACCTGCTCACTGTATATTTCAGACCCCAGTAGTGGTGTGCTTTGTCCAAGAACACATTCTTTGTGATATTTCTAACCTTAACCAATGAAGTAATATAATAATTTTGTTTCACAGGTTGGATAAGTTCACAGTAAGTGGGTTCATTAAGTGTGGGAAAATAGTTCCTGAAGTTTTCAATGGCAGTTATGTACACGTGTTGAAGGTCGACCCAGAAACCAAACCAATCCAAAACAAAAACTGTAGACTCACTGTTTCTCATGGAAAGGTGTGTCCGATATCTTACTAACCAACTAAGCAACTCTCAGAACAAACCCATTCATAAGTTGGTGACTGCTTGAATTACTTATTTTTATTTTAAATATATTTAAAATTATTTTCATTTAAAATCACTTTAAAATAGATACTGGCAAGTATCCTTAATTTCTCTCTATGTGTGTATAGTATTTACATGATTTGCCCATTAAAATATCAATGACATCAAGAATTAAACATTTGAGACTCTGCTGAGAAAAAAATGGGCCTTTCAGCAGAAAATACATCCTTCAATAAACAAAACCTGGTTGAAACTTTTGGGGAAAAACATAACAATTAGGTCTCCACATTTTCCAGGGACAATATAATTTATTAAAAATATTTATCAGAAGTTTTCAAAATTCTGGTCATGAAGAACTGCATCATAGTAAATACACTGTGCACCTTGTTTCTATAAGATGCATGTAAAGGGAGGATAAATAAAACAATTTAAAATTTCCTGCAACCACTAATATAGGTTGTATTGTAATAATATTTGTAAGCCACATATGAGTATGTTTTTATTATCTGGTGGTTCACTTCATAATATTGCTATGGTACAAATTTGGAGAAATTTAACAAACTCGTTAATTCTAAGAAAAAAGATCTCATGGCCTTATGAAAATGTACATCTACTCTTCTGTGATAGTCAAAGCCTAGGTTGCACTAATGCCTTTTGTTTTTGATGTTGGCATGCCCTTTCTTGTTCTGGGATATAAACACTGTGGGCTTGGTACCGTGAAATCAAAGCAATGCTCTAGAAGTAAGAGCGTCAGTTCTGATCTCCTGGTTCCCACTGCTGTGCCAGAAGCACCTCAGTCTGCTCTCCACTGCCAGGACAGTCACTCCTTTCCCTGGCAGAAGTTTCACTGAGCCTGAAAACTATGAGACAATTGGCCTGGAAGCAACAAGATGCACTAGTGAAGGAGTCAAGAAAGAAATGAAAGCTGAGGCAGCTATAGAGGAAGAACTCCCAGCATTGCCTCAGGAGAGGTTAGCCACATGAAGGGAACACCTAAAATCTCCCCAAATGTGTGAATAGTAGATGCAGTTTAAAGCAGCTAGGGTAAGGGTTTTATGGGCAGTTGTGGTATTTCATCCAGGGAGTAACAAGTAGAAAAAAGGGAAAAGGAATGAGGAGAGTTCTACAACACTGCATGAATGGTTAAAAAGAATTCTCCAAAACTGCACGTATCGGCAATGAAACCCACTCCACCTCTGGCTTCCAGAAATTCTACATATGAAACATTTACCAACTACTCACTTTAACGTAAGGACTTATATAATGGCATGTAGGCCTTTGGGTGGGAAAATAAAAGATGGATAATGCAGGGTCCTTGTCCTCTGATCAGTGCATACGCCAGGTGGAGAAATGAGGAGGACCAGTAGACGGTGCTGCATGTGGAGGTGGGTCCAAGTTCCTCATGCCTTAGGGATATTGTGTGGACCACTTTGAAAGGCCATGCAGTGGCAGGGTCAGTGGGTCTGCTTACTCCAGCCTAGGAGCTGGAGGACTGGCAAAAGGAAAGAGTCTTAAATACTTACTCTGGGAGTGGGAGGTCATTTTTAGCAGCGTGTTAGTGAACTTATTGGAAGAAGAAGGCCCAGCTGCACAGTAAATAAGCTATAACTCTAACTTACGTCATGACATATAATCTCCTCTCCCTTTTGCCTTTTTGATTATTCTTATCGCCTTACTGTATTCTTCCTCTTAAAAATCCCTCATGACTTCAGAAGTGGTGCACATGTGCTGCCCTTTACTTCTTCTTAGTAAGAGCAATCATTGGAGATCAACCAAGGCACTCAGTCCCAATGGTTCTAAACTTAGCTTCAGTTTAACTTAGCACCTAAGTAGCAACAATCATAAATGACTGAAACTAAGCCTATTACTTCCAAATTCTCTATGTCATTGTGATCTTTTCTCTCATCCTTAAACATAGCTCCTCAGTACAGTAGTGAAATTCACGTAAAAATATAGAGAAAATTTCAAACCAAAGAATATGCCTAAAACCACAAGATTTCAGGCAGTAGACCAATTATCATGATACAGAGCAATGGGAGTATTAACAAAGAAACTACAAAAATGTCATAATCATTGAAACATAAAAGCCAACATTTTATTCAAAAGCATCCCTCAGGTTACACGAATCCTACATGGGTTGCTAAAGTTATGGCCTGTGTTTTTATTTCAAAGATATGACTGTTCACAGATTCTAGAAACAATGTATTATACAGAAACATATCCTAAAACCAGGAATTTTACTATTAAAATAAAATTTCACAAGAATTCCTGAATTCTCCATGGAAGCTATAACTAAATGCCCTTATAATTGGGGTTATTAGGAGCTCACATCTGTGAGATAAACTCAGTAATTCTTCATAGTTATCTA